CAATCCTGGCTCATCCCTCTCCTCCTTTTCCTGAATTTCTTCATTCCAACCAATCCTGGCTCATCCCTCTCCTGCTTTTCCCAGACTTTCCGCTGGCCGGTGGCGACCAACGTCGACGGGAATGAGATCCTGGAGATCCAAGTGTTCAACTACAGCAAGGTCTTCACCAACAGGTGAGTCCCTCCTTCCCGCCCGGATCTCATCCCGCTGGAGTTTCCTGGGAATTTCCGGTGCACCGAGTTTGTCCCAAGTTTGGCCGTTTGTTTCCATAAAATTTCCGCGTTTTGATGGGAATTGGGATTTTTTTTAATTTTTTTTATTTTTTTGGTGGGTTGGCCAGGTGGGAGTTGATGCCGGAATGTGTTTTCCCGGATTTTCCAAACGCTGCGGGTGTTGGATGGATTGTGTCCAGGGAAATTGGAGCTGCCTCATCCCTGGAAGTGTCCAGGGAAAGGTTGGATGAGGCTTGGAGCCGCCTGGGATAGTGGGAAGTGCTGGGCTTGGAATGGGATGGGATTTAAGATCCCTTCCCACATGGATCCAGGAGGACACCTGGATCAGGGAAGGATCCCGGGAATCCTTGGAGCTGCTTCCCAATCCCAAAGGGATTCCGGGAGAGCTGGAACTTGGGGAAGGGCTGGAGGGGCAGGAGCCAGGGAATGGAATTCCCAGTGGGAAAGGGGAGCTTGGGAAGGAATTCCTGGCTGGGCTGGAATTCCCAGAGAATCCCTGGATCCTTGGGAGTGCCCAAGGAAAGGCTGGATCACCCTGGGATCGTGGGAAGTGTCCCTGGGATGGGATTGAAGCTCCACGGATCCCATCCAAACCATTCCGGGATTCTGGGATCGAGGACACTCGGGATCCATCCTGAGGGAATTTTATGGAATTCAGGGATGGAAAAGGGAAGGGAGACCCTTCCTGGAGTCCCGAATTCCCAGTGAAGCTCCTGGATCCCGAAATTCCTACTCAAGGAAGAATCAGGATGGGGATGGATCCAATCCCAGGCTGGGAGAGCCGGGAATGTTCCCCTGGATCGGGGAAGGATCCCGGGAATCCTTGGAGCCGCTTCCCGATCCCCAAGGGGCTCCAGGAGAGCTGGAATTTGGGGAAGGGCTGGAGGGGCAGGAGCCAGGGAATGGAATTCCCAGTGGGAAAGGGGAGCTTGGGATTTTGGGATCTGGGGCAGGAATTCCCGGCTGGTGGGGTGGGGAAGAGAAGAGAGGAGTTTGTGCTGGGAACATCGCTCCAGGAATTCTGGGAATGTGTGGAACAGGAATTCCCACTAAACCGTGGCAGTGTCAGAATTCCAGCCCATTTTCCTTATCCGGGAATAAGTTGGATGAGGTCGTGACGTTTCCAGGAACATCCCTCCAGGAATGCAGGGAATGAGTGGGAAAGGAAATTCCATAAAAACCAAGGCAGTGCCGGGGCTCCGAATCAGTTGGAGGAGAGGAGGGAGAATTTTGGGAACACGTGGGATCAGAATTCCCGTGGTCTGTAATTCCAGCCCATCCTCCTTGTCCAGAAACGAGGAGGAAGAGGAGGGAGAATTTTGGGAACATCCCTCCAGGAATGCAGGGAATGTCTGGAATAGGAATTCCCATGAAAGCAAGAGCTGGAGCTCCGGCCCATCCTCCAAATCCGCTGGAGGAGGAGGAGGAGGGAGAGGCTTGGGAAAGCGGATCCGGGCGCTCCGTGAATAATTCACCAGCAGCTGATGAAGGCCATTGATCAGAGGCCTGGAAAAAGGCGGGATACCTGATCCAGGAGCGGATCCAGACCCTCCGGAATGACCGGGGAGTCACGGCCCAGCGGCTCCCTTTGTTCCCTGTCCCTGCGGCTGTCACCAGCGGCCAATTCCTGGGAATTTGATCCTGGTTTGGCCTCGTCCGGGTGCCTCTGGATCCTGGGGGTTCATCCCGGCTCCGGAGGGTCCCTGGGAGCATTCCCAGGGTGCTCAGTATCCAAGGAAAAGGGTGGGGTTGGATGAGGGAGAAGCCTCCTGATCCCTCAGATGGGCCACGGCATCCCAAAAATCCTGTCCCCAGCTCCCGGATTGGGAATTTCCAGGCTGGGAATCTCTCCAGGACGCATCCAAAGCATCCAGGAGCCGCATCCCGCTCCGTGGGTCGTTCCCGGGTGGAAATTCCCGCTGGAAAAGCTCCACAAGAGGGAAGGATCAGAAGCTGTGGGGCCTCCACGTCTTGGATCAAACCCGGGAGATTCCCACGGCACGGAATAATCCGTCCAATCCCACCCTGGAAAATCCTGGTGGGAGGAGAGATGAGCTGGGTGGGAATGCCGGGATCCTGCTGGAATTCCGGTTTTCCGTGGTCTCCTGGTCCCCCGGGAGACCTTCAGGACCCCTCCAGGATGGGAGAAATTCCCTGGGATGTTCTCCCATGGTTCCGGGCCCTGGGAGAGGCTGGATGGAGGAAATTTGAGATCCCAATTTTTTGGGGGGAGATTGGAGCAGGAAAAGCCAGGCCGGGGCACTCCTGAGGGATGTGGGAATGGGAAAATCCAGGGAAAAAAAGCAGAGGCACACCCAGGGATGAATCCAGGAGGCAGCCGTGATCCAGCGCCTACGGAGCATCATCCCTGTGGGCCCATTCCCAAACTTTTGGCACAGCCTGGCCCAGCCTTTCCGAGCAGGATTTCCCTGTGCAGAAAACCGGGATAACAGCGGGCGGAGATCCCAATCCTTAAGGAATGCGCACAAAACCCAGGAGCTTTTTCTCCAAGGGCTTCCATCTCCTCCTTGTCCTCGTTTTCCTCTGGGACCCGGCCAAAGGCCCAAAGCCGCATTCCAAACCCGGAGCAGGGATGATTTTCCTACGGAAAACCGATCCCGCGGAGAAGAGGCGGGAGTTGCTCCGTTCTACCTGGCAGGGACGCAAAGATCCGGATTGCGAAGGGTTAAATCCATCCCGGGAATCTCCGGGATGGACGCGGAGCCTTGTCCCGGCCTTTGTTCTTCTCCAGCCGTGGAGATCCTGGCACAGCTCGAGTCCTTCGTGTCTCCGGAGGGATCCTCCTTTCATCCGCGGAAAATTACCCGGAAAATCGTCCGAGGAAAATTACCTGGAAAATCATCCATGGAAAATTATCTGGAAAATCATCCATGGAAAATCATCTCCTGCTGGAGCAGGAGAATGGAAAAAAATTCAACTCGAGCTGGAGGGTTCCCTGTTGTCCGACTGCCCTCCCCACACGGAGCAGTTACGTGGGATTTTGGGATGGAATTCCGGGCTGTGAGGGGCTGAGATGGAATTCCCAGGGAAGCTGTGGTTGTGGAAGTATCCAAAAAAAAAAAAAAAAAAAATTGGATGGGGCTTGGAGCAATCTGGGATTGTAGAAGGTCGGGGTTGGAGCGGGATCAGCTTTCAGGTCCTTCCCACCCAAACCATTCCGGGATTCCGTGCTGGAATTCCCGGTGCCCAATCCCTGCCTGCGGCCCCTGGGGCGTGTCGGATTTTGTGGGAATTTTTCATTTCCGGATCCAAATTTGGAGCGCCGCCCGTCCAAACGCGGAGCGAGAGCCTGAGCACGCCCAAAGTGCCGCTCCAGGGATCTCATCCCGATTTCCTGGTGGGATATTTCCGTACCCGGGGCCGGCTTCGCTCGTTATCCTGCTCCGCTCGCATTCCGAAGGAAAATAATTTCTGTTTATTGGGAATTTCTGCAAGAGCTTCCTGAAGAAAAAGGGGGAAGAACGTGGCTGGAGCAACTTTTAATACCTGGAAGCTGCTGGGCTGGAGCAGCTGGAGTGTCCCACATTTCTCCGGGTATTCCCGGGAAAATTAACCCGGAGTAATTACGGGCTCCTGCAATTGGCGGGAAGGGGATAATTAGGAGGGAAGAGGATTTGGAAGCTCTAATTCCAAACTTAGAGGTGCGAGGCAATTCCGGATGAAGCTGCAATTTGGTTGGAGAGGGGAAAAGAGTCCAGAGCAAGCTCCAGGTAGGAGCTGGAATGAGGATTGCCCGAGCAGGGATTTGGAAATCCGTGGAAAAGCTGCGGGCTCCAAATTGGAATTGGCACCTTCCGAGCCCCGAGCCCTGGTGTCCAACCCACTGCCGTGAAGGGTCGGCAGGATAATTCCCTGGAAAAGTCTGGAATCCCTCTGCTTTCCTTATCCCACCCTTCCGGAGGTGCCTGGAAGCGGGGAACAAACTGGGAGAGAGGTCCCGGGATTTGGGGCTTG